GGTTTGGCCCTCGGGGGCGGGGACGCCCCAGCCACCAGCAGGTGTCTGCGAGGAGACGTCTGGCGCCTACACCAGCCCTGGGCTGGCAGGCTGCTCACAGCACTCTGTGCTGCAAGGGATCCTGCTGAGTTCCCCACATCCAGCACTGCTCAGCTTTGGGAGTTTAATGATAGGTATATAGCCAGGGTCCTTGCTGCGAGGTGGAGGTATGCTTTGAATTTGCACAGGCTGAAAAGAGAGTGGTTTGACAACAGTGAATTGTTGGAGCGTGTTTGGCTGCTCTTTTGTACGTTCACAATATTTCCCTAACTGTGCACCTATAATTTATAAGAATACAAATAGAAATGAATGCATAAGTGAGGGATAATGAAGCCTTTTCCTTTGGTTTCATTGTTTTCCTTGCATATCAAGAGATGGCAGTATATTATTCTATCCAAGCTACTAAAGGCTTACAGCTCTCTGCTGTAGCAGGGGAACGAAATTCCTTCAGTCTCAGAGAGGATGTTCAGTCTCAGGCAAGTAGGCAGCCTGGCATTTTGGTGATCTTTGAGTCGCTATGGTACATCACTACATACCAGTACTACATTGATCAGTAAGGGGAAGAGGTCCTAAATTTTGTCCAAGAGAACAAAAAAGGTTTAAAAATTGTGAAGGTTTCTGATACAAACAAATGAAAAAGGTTACTTCTGGTGGTGTTGCATTTTGAATGATCCTCTATCTACAACATATGGAAGTTTTACATAACTGTTGGCAAACAACAGCAAGAGTAAAGCAGAATAAAAATGTATAGGAAAAAAGGTAGAACTCAGCCCGAAGAAAGGCAGTCAGTTAGAAGGAGAAATCTGTTTCAGCTGAGAGTTCATGCTTAAACAAATTTAACATACTCTTTGAAAACAAATTATGTTCAGTGTTCAGTCTGGATGCCTTACGTATGACAAACCACAATGAGAAACAGACTTCCTTCCAGTGTTTATACATTGAGTGTTAAACATTGAACCGTAGCATTCGTAGACTTCATTGAACTCTAGATCACTGTTAGATTTCTGTAGCCCTTGAATTCATATTACCATGCATTAAAGTTATTTCAAGCAAGTGCTGCCAGTGGCAACTCATGTATAGTTCATAATCACCATCTTTTTTATATTTTCTTATAGTCTGTCTTTGCTGCTGCTTTTTTTATTTTCAGATCATCCTCGTGCTAATGTGATGCCTATAGGCAGTGTTCTCACCGAGGTCACTGTGCAGTGCCTTCACACTTTTGTACAGTGATTTGATTTCTGTGTTTGTCTCATTTTATGAATTAATATCTTTCAGCACCCCCAGATTCAAAAGGAGTCACAATATATCAAGTACTTATGCTGTGATGATCAAGCAACCCTGCATCAGTGGGTAACAGGAATAAGAATTGCCAAGGTGAGATTAAAAGTAAATTTAGTTAAAAATGTTTTCTGTAAAATCCTGTCTTTCTCAGGTTACTGACTGTCATCACCTCAACTGGAAATATTGTGAGAAGAATAGACATTAATGCTAATTTTACTGTAGAAAGAAAGAGCAGAAGGGCACGACCAGGATGCATTTGCTGAATACTCCTGTACCCTAGTTATCAGTGTTTCTCATTAATATGGGGGGTGAATTCTGTAGCTATAAAACTCAACTACTCGTGAAACTTAATCCACAGTTATCTGGCACAGTAATAATAGGCTGTGGCTAAAGATGTGCAAGCTATGGTAAGTCCAGCTGTGACATTTTTCAGACAGTTCTGCCCAAATTGTCTGCTTCACGCTCTTCAAGAAGATCCTAATTCACAGCCCATTTGGTTTTGCACAAAATATTAAGGGAGATGGATTTATACATAGCCCGGTATACTGGCTATACCTGGCTATACAGACCTGCTCGTGTCAGGTATATATTCTTTTCTGCCAGTTCTGCTGCAGGGTGTCATCCAGCACTTGTGGGGTGAACATCAAATTATTTTGTGTCTCACAGTGGCAGAGCTGTTTGCTCTAGAGCCCAGGATTCAGTGTCCCAAGTCTCCAGTCTGAAAATGTAATAATTGGAAATTGTTGGAAAAAAGGTATTTCTTGAGAACAGTTGGTTTTAAAGCCAAGTTTTAAGATGTTTACATATACTGAAACGAGCATAAAATGTGAGACTGATAGCAGTAGGACTGTGTTTAGTCATGGGGATTCATGTTTTATTGTGCTGTTACAGAGATGCTTTCCATCTGGCCCTATACCGAAATAGGCACACCACTTGTAGAAAGCTACTTTTTAACAAAACTGCTTAGGAAGGAATAGGGTCAAAAAAGTTGTCCGAGAGCAAAGTGAATGCTTGGCCTATGTCAAGCTTAACTCCATGCTTATTGTATTGTTTTGATTGTTTTGCAGTATGGCAAGACACTATATCATAATTACAAATGTGCAGTGAAGAAAGCTGGCTTGTCCTCTCGGTGGACAAACCAAGGAATGGCGGAACCAGCTGCCCCTGCAGGATCCTTATCAGCAGGTACCAATGCTGTCACAGCGGTTGAAATCACATTTATTGCCCTCTTCTGTTGTCATCAGTGTTGCACACAGCCTTTGTTCAGAAAACTGTCCCGTTGATTCAGTAAGATATCTTATTCTAGACAGCCTAGTGTAGCTCTGATCTATAACTAAGCTAGCAGCAGAGCCCTTACTGTAAAGGTAGAATTTGAAGAATACAAAGACAGTCCACCAAAGGTCAGTTTAAATCTGTGTAATTTAATAAGGTGTTTTTCTGTTGGCATCTTAATACAAATCCTTTATACCCCCTCTGTATTTTATGGACTGATGGTCCATGTCTTGCAGTTTTCTGTTTGCTCATCTCTACATTGGCTGTATTGGAGTTTTTCTTCCAATGAGTAAAAGGCGTGAGTGGGATATTCTGAGAATGATCATTTCAGAAAGAGATTATTACGGGCTGAGCCACTCTCTTTCCTAGCCTTTCACTCATTTGCTTGATAACAATGTGGGTGTTAGGAAAAGGGCGCAGAGGAAGAAAGGATTGGGTTATTTTCTAACTTTACTTTTCCAGTAGCTTCATGATACTCCTGTTGCCTATTTTATCATTATACAGATACAACAGTGCATGATACTAGCTGTAACTTGCATGAATGTTTTTAGATTACATGCTTAAGACATGCTTTATTTACTAGGAAGGACATGCTGGCCAAGTGCTTACTGTTATAAGACAGGGGAAGTCAAAATCAGCGTTGGCAGTTAATATTCTGACTTCTCATGTAGACAACTCAAGATCCTCCAAACACCTTTCCAAGGCTTCAGTTTGCCTTTTCTCAGTACATGTGCAAAGAGGGTGGTCTTTCCACCATTTCTGGGAGTCAAATCATGGTAATAAATGCACATTTGGGGTGGGGAGACCCAATAACAGGCTGTTTCAAGATCAGGGGATTTTCTGATGGTTGTGCGTGGGGGTACTTTAGTGAGGGTGGATGGGACAGTCATGGAGCATTTTGTGTTCTGGTGTTGGTGGCAGTAGAGAGGTGGCTAGCCAGTGGGGCTCCATGCTGGTGCTGCAGTCTGTATTGGATATGGGCAGGATCAAGGCCTTGTAAAGTATGTATACATCTGTATAACTTCAGCTTCTGACTAGAATCCAGAAACACTGCATGTGATCATAAAATATACTGTTAATCTTAACTAATGGATCCCATTAAATGGTTAAGTAGCCTGGAAAGATTTTAATCATGTATGTCGTCTCTATGGAAATAGCTCTGAAGGATCGTTAGCGTTCTAATTGAGGCAAGTCACTGTGATTCTTGCTGTCTTACAGTTATCATTACTGCCCTATATAAAACCTGGGGCCCGACTGTGAGCAGTTTTTGGCTTGTGTTTTGGAAATGGAACAAAGCATGTTTCCTTCTGTTCTGTTTTCAAACGGCTGTGTAGCCATTTGTGTGGGCTGATTTCAGTACAGGCTGAAATCTGCTGGAGAAAACTACAGTCCTGCGTGAGCTTAGCAGGGGCCGTACTCTGTTAACTTCAGTGGCAGCCAAAAGCAATGCTCAGGAAGGCAAGGTGGAACTTCGGTTCTTGTGTCTCATGCAGGCTGTGTTCCCTGGTCACGCTGCTGTAGCTGGTATTGGTGTGTTCGCACATACCCCAAACTGCATAGTCCATGGTTCTGAAGTGTCCCAAGTGCCAGGCACATCTCAGGCAAAATATGTTGTTTGTCTCACTGCCTCATGATGTGTGCCTTTGGACTCTAAAAAACCAGTGTATGTTGTGTGCCAGCACAATATCATGCCGTTTGAAAGACGAAGGATGTTGCTTTTTCCATAACACTACACTTTATTTGGATGTTCAATATTTTGCGTTATATATTTTGTGTATGTATATTTTGCATTATACCTGGACTATTTTTTTTTTTTTTTGCTTAAAACAAATACTAATTTAACGTCAAATTTTGGAGAAATTGACTTGCAAAGAATACTGTAACATTTAAAATAAAACATTAAAAATAAATCTTGAGAACAGAATGCATGTACTCACATATTGGATTGACTGGGGGTCCCCTAGCTGGCTGACTTTGTGCATAGTATATGTGCAGGTACGTGGCAGGAGTTGATATATCAAATGTTGCTTTCAAGTCTTGCATATTTTATGAAATCCATTAACAGAAGAAGAAACAGATTACCATTTAGCCATGTCCCAACTTTCTGGTATATCATATTTGCCAAGCAGACCACTATACCTTGCCCTAAACAGAGTGGATCTCTCTCCGCTCTCTTTAATGTAGTGAAATCTCAGCATGACTGAGCAGCGTGAAGCCCAAAGTCCTGCTCTGCTATGGACAGCAGACAAAGTGAGGAGAGACAGTAACTTGCTCTACTTGAGGGCACGGCCACAGAACCCAGGGATTTACATGCCTCTCCACTGAGCACTTACAGCCAGAAGATTGGTTTTATCTCTTTATCGTACTTCCAAATTAGTCCTTCAACAAACACAGACTGTAGTTTGAATGATCAAAATGGTACTTTGGATTAAATATGCTGAATGACATGCAGGCACAGACATAAAACACAAGGACTTCAGATCATTTTCTGTCATCCCTTGAAGCCTAAATAGCCCTAGTGAATTCAGGACACTGCAGAGTTTGTCTTCTCTGTCAGTTGTGTGATTTGCAGGCATGGCAATAAAAATAATTTATTCTGTTTGTTACCATCTTCATGGAACCTCTTTGCTAATTGGAAAAGTACATGCTAAGATTAAAACCATCATTGTGCTTAGACGTATGATGTAGACAGCAAAGCATTCACTAACATCCAAGAAGAACCTGAGTCAAACTTCACTGGATCTCGGAACTGTAAATTGTAATAGAGCTAAGGCAGTCATTAAGGTTTATAAACTTATATATGTAGGCACCAAACATTATCTACTACTTTGACATGTACAGCTTCCAAAAATCCTAGACTAAAGTGGAGAGTTTATTTAATCCTCATCAGACTATACAGGGGCTGGGGATTTTTTCCTAATTAAACCCACAAATTTGTCCTTTGGTCTCACATTCATTTACTTCATTTGACAGGACTGTGTTATTTATGTTTGACCCTTACACAGTAATGGTGGGCAAATGGTGAGCTTTAACTTAGCCAGCTAGCAGATCTTCACTAATCTGAGAATACAGTGAGGTTCACAAATCTTCCCTGGTTCCAGATGGGGGAGAAGCTTCAGAGCTGTTAGCTCCTTTACCAAAGAAAATTAATCAGCCCCTCTGTAGGACTGCAAACCTTCAGTTCTCACGACTGGTATTGATACAAAACTATGGAGCTTTTAATCTTTAGGCTGAAGTAAAGGAAAAAAATACATGCAATAAAAGCTGAGAATGTAGTAATATTACATCACGCTACAAACTTCAAAATGCTGTTACGGAAGACAGGCATTTAAACAACGGAAGGCCAGAGGGTGAGCTTAACTATGCCAGTTTGATTTCTGCTTCGCTCCCCTTCCAAAGCCAGCTCCCCATCTCTTAACGGTCCCCTTCTGTAATCACCATTTACAATAGTCAGAAGAAAAAGCTCTTCATTTGTCACCGCCTTTACACACACTGATAATTTCTGTCCCATGTCTTCATGATTCTGCCACTTGCACTTCCTGTAGGATTGTCAGCCTCAGCCATGGGTGCATGTGGACAGGTATAAGTTTTAATATAAGGTTAATACCTGTTTATTTTCCTTATGTAATGAACTGAATATGAAAAGTCACAAAATAAGCCTGAAGTAGAAAACAGACATCCTTGTGGATTTTACTGAATTATGTATAAAACCTGTAATGAGTAGGTCCTCAGTGGAACCTATAAAGATGTTTTGATAGCCTTATTCTTAGTTTCCTATTCCCCGATCTGGTTAATATCACAGAAATGTAACACACTTCTTCCTCTGTCTCCTCTCCTTGTCACAGATGCTGTTCAGGCAAATGGACAAATTCCCCAAGTTGTTCGTCGTTCCAGTGCGGAATTTCCAGAGACTCAGAAGCAAGTGGATACATCAGAGGTACAGGTTAGCAGTTACCACCAGTGCACTAGTTAAATGTCACCTGTGAAACAGTCCTACAAGTTTGTTTTTCTTCACCCACTGTCTGTCCTCCTCGAAGTACCAGTGTACTGCTGTGACAAGGATTGGGCTCCTGGGCAAAGTGGCTCGTTCCTTGCTGCCCCTCCTCAGGCTTTACACACTGCAAACAGTGTGCCCATTGCACAGAAGCAAGGAGCCACCAATGGGAGGTGAAGGCACAGCCATCCACCACATTCCTTCTTCAGAACAAATAGGTGTGAATTCAAGTAGCAGAAATAGGAATGTGGGAGAGCCTCAGAGAGTCTGTGCTGCCAGAACCTTGGTGCCGTTTTCTGTCTCTGCCAGAAAACAGGTCTTGTCTTAGTAACACAAAGGGTCCAGTAGTGTTTTTGGCAGGGAACGCTGTGCAGAGCTGAAGATGAGTGTGTAAGAAAGGAGAAAGTGTGAAGAAGGGAAAACATTACATGTTTTCATTAGGCTCTAAGTGCATTCCATGGTTAAGCTCCAAATTTTGTCTGCTTGCTCCATCACTGGCTGTAAAAATATCAGCAGGGTACAGGATGAGGACTTCAAAAACATCCTACAGAAAAGAAGCCCTGCGTTGGTTTGCAGGTCATTATTCAATCCCTCCATCATGCACAAATGTACAGGACAAGTGAAATTTAATTCCTAGGATTTTTCTGTCACCTGCATTACGTGTCCCTATGCTTCTTGTTTCTGCCTTTGAGTTCCTCCTTTAAAAAGATCTGTTTCTCTGTTCTGAACCTCACTTCCTCTGGAATAAATCATGTTCTCAGAACTCAGCCGGTGGTTCCCTCCTCCTATGTCTCATTTACTTCCATCTCTGTTGGCAAGGAGAGCGAAGAAGAGAAGGCAAGCACGTTGTATGTAGCTAATGTCAGAATCAGTACTGCTGGCTGCAGGGTTGCAGAGTGCTTTTCTCTAGCAGAAGCAATTGTGTTGCCGCCTTCACCTCACAGCTTCCACAAGCCTGGGACCAAAGAATCAAGCTGAAGTCTTTGAGGGTGCACTGTGCTACAGCTGGAGCACTAAGCTAGCTGGACCTAAACTGATAAATTAGCGTAACTAGAAATGAATGTGTTACAAAGCTTTGTTTTCAGGACACCAGGCATCTGCACAGGTTTACAAGAATAGATAGCATGTTTGTGTAGTACCTGTCAACAGCTACCAGTTGCTACCTGAAAAAAAAAAAAAAGAAGAGCAAATTGTATTCAGATATCCCCAAATGGGCTTTATTTATCTTCAGAGTGTCAACTAGCAAACACAATTTAAGAGAAAAGCCACCTAAAATATTGTCAAAATAAACATCTCCATAATGAACTGCTATCCTATATTTTATTTTTCTTAACTTGTACGATGGATGCTTTGATTAATTTTTCCTTCAAAAAAGTTGTCGGAGGGTTTGGACGTCCTGTGACCTTGCAAACATGGCTAGGGCTTAGTGGCTTCAAGGACCCGTTTGTCTCACTATTGACTCAAAAGTGGAGGAGGTGGGTGCATATGCCTTGTCCAGCAGGCGGGATAAACCTTCCCCGGGTTTATCAGTGGCCCCTGCCAGGTCACCGCTGGAGTATCTTCCCGCACGGCGCGGTGACAGACGGCTTTCCCAAGCCCCTCTCCTCCCAGTGCTTTGCAGTGCTCTCCCTCCCGCACAGGGCGGGCCCAGTGCACTGCCCTGCGGGTGAATGCACGTCACCGTGCTGCAGCATGCTGGGGACAGGGAATCCAGACATAAACCATAAATTCCCAAATCTCTCCACCTTCTTCCCAGTTCACTGCTGTTGCGTCTAATGAGTTTGGCAGTGCTGTTACGTCCCATGAGTTTGGCAGAGATAGGTGACTTCATTATTTTAGCTTTATCCAGAGATCCAGTAGTCGCAGCTAGAAAGGCAGATAGAGATACAGTGGGGGTGAGAGCCAAAACTACATCTGCTTTTTATGTTCTCAAATCTTGCTCAGTACTTTTGGATGTAAAAACACAGCACAGATTTTTTTTTTTTTTTTTAAGTCTTCATGTTCTCAGGGAATGAACAGCAGGGTGGAATGTCATGAAAGTAGCTTTATATGTCTTAGTAACTGCGATGCTTTGAAATTTTAAAAGCACTCATTTTCTGAGGACAGCACTCGAAGAAGCACTGTGAATACTGTCAATAGGGAGATATCCACTGTCAAAGCTCTGTGGGCAGCTCCAGAAAGAAAACAAAATTCCATTTGCACTCTTCAGGCAAAATGTACTCTACTTTATTTCATGGTCTTCATTTCACTCTTCTCATACATTTTCACATCTTTTCACTGTTCTTCAGCAATGGCATTAGATTACACATGCACTGACTGTGTCTTGTCCTTTTATTCCTTCTGCTTATTAAAGGCTAAATCAAATAACGTCAGCGCACCTGGTCTGCCACAGTCAGTGATGAGGCCACCGAAATACCAGAATAGGAGGAACTCACTGCAGCCTCCTCCTCCACCTGAAAGGCGGTCATCTGCTATTCCTGTTTCACCAATTCTACCCTCCAAAGTCAAACGAGGCAGCGGCGTTTTCCTAACAGAGCCAGACAGCTTTCCAGCACCACCACCTACCTTGAAGATTGATTTTCCACCACCACCATCTGATTTCTACGAACCTCCTCCTGATTTTGTGCCTCCGCCACCACCAGCCTCCAGCAGTGATAATGGAGACCTGCCATTACCCCCTCCACCTCCACCTCCACCTCTCTCCAGTAAGCCACCACCTCCAACAAAGAAACCTGTGCCACTTCCTTCAAAAAGGCTAGAAAACACGGGACAAGCTGGAGAGCCACGGGCAGCTGGGCCACCTCCAAGTGGGGGTGGAGGCAAGCAAGCAGATTTCATGTCTGACCTAATGAAGGCTCTTGAGAAGAAAAGGGGCAGCAGCTCCTGAATGCTGGGAGCAGGTGGACTTCAAGTCATAGCTGGTTTTGTGTGGCATCATGGAAGGTCTTTCTGGATCAGGCCCCACCAGGAGCAATTCTCCTTCAGAGTTCCTCCTGGGGGTCCCAAGAAGTAAGGTGGGGTGCCCTCTGTCCCCCACATTGTCTCTACAACCTGCTTCTTCCTCCCCCCACCCCCCATTGACTACCATTCCAGCTTCAGGCTGAGGTAAGAAATTGGCCATAGAGTCATGCTTCGCTCCATCAGGACAGCCAGGGACGGTGGAGCAGCACTCGCAGAGCCAGCCAGCAAGTGAAATGCATCTTCTGTGGCTGTCTCTGTAGTAGAAGTGGAGCTGAAGGAAAAAATACAAGTGTTCTCCTATGAATTTTGAGAAGTGGAAAGATCCCTTTTTACAGAATTCCCCTTAAAGGTTCATTACCAGAAAACCCCAAATTGTGGTGGCTTTTTTGATAAAAGGACCCGCACACCCCCTTTTTCTTCCCCCTGTCTTAAAAAGTAAAACCTCAGCTAGATTGTTCTGAGATGCAAGGCAGGACCAGGGCCATTTCCAGACAGCGTCACCCCAACTGTTATACGCTCCTGTTTCCATATGCAACTCCAGTCATATCTGTCAGCACTCAGTTGCTGCCTTTAGATCTCATGTGTTTGGTTAATCTTAGGCAAAGAAAAGTTTTTATTTCAAAATGTTGTATGCTTCCCTTGGTAAGCAGGGATTTTTTTTTCTGTTGGTTAACATTGGTCTTCAAACTGCACCTAGAAATAGTCTGTCTTCAGAAAGACTTCATAATTATCTTGTACCTGATATGAATGTCTCCTCCTACAGTTTTTTTTCATTTGTTCTCCCATTTTAATTCTCCGTTGTTCGTTTAGGCAGCATTCATTATTAGTTCTTGAATAAAAATAGCTTGTATTTTATATCTGCACAAAGTGTCACAGTTAATGAACAGGCATTTTACTGGCAATTGGTACCACTTCAAATATTTTAAAGAGTTTTTGCCTCTGCCTTCTAAATTCTTTATTTTTATTTCCTCCAGTCTTTGTCTCTTCTCATGCACACAGTTCTAAGGTTCCATGAATAATATATTTCTGTATTTTATCTGAGTACGGACAGCAGCTCCTCTCTCATTTGTTCAGATGGTTCCTACTATGTTTGCACATCTTGGTGGCTATGTGAGCATATCCTCCACAAGACAGCAAAGACCAGGACTTTGCTATGACAAAGCAGAGGCCAGGAGCACTCAGTATCAGGGGGCCAGACCCCTGACAAGGTGGAGCCATGCAAGGCAAACCTGTGATAGCTCTCGGAGGAGCGGGCAGTACCTGGTCAAAGCACGGGAGTGAAAGGACAGGCTCTGGAACGGAGCTGACGTGGAGCAGGGTGGTGGACACAAGAGGAACTCAGGGATGCGCAGAAGGTGTTTCAGAACAGGGGTGCTTCAGCCAGGGAAGTGCCAGGTGAGCCACTAAAAAAAACAGTTTATGTGACATCATGCAATTTCATCCATTGTGAGTGGAGGCAAGCTGAAGCAAAGGGATGTTTTTCCTGCAGTAACTGTGCCCATCCCCAGAGTTACTCAGGTATAGCCATGGGACAGCCACTGCCAGAGTTACTCAGGTATAGCCATGGGACAGCCACTCCCCGTTTCCTCCTTCTTTCCTTTGGTTTGTCAGCAGTGTAAGCATTGGAAGAATAAGTAAGTAAAGCTCATCACATCAGGGGTGGGGATGTGGGGGGGATGTCCTACGACTGCTGTTAACCATTTCTTTGCTCTGCAGCCTATGGTTGAGGAGCTAGCACTGCTAACAAGAAGCTACAGCTTACGCACCTGTGGCTCTACTGCTAAATAAAATAGGATAAGGATGCAAGCTTGAGCGCTGGCCTGTGCTCACCCGTACAGCTGAAGTGGGCTAAGGACAGTCCCAGGTACAATTCAAGGAACTGCCCAGGTCAGGCACCATTCCCAGAAAACAGCATGGACAAGTTTAAAAGCAGGTTTCGCTCCCTGTATGGAGATCCCCTGTGGTGTGGATGTGGCCAGTTAGGGTACCAGTTCATGGGCCAAGGGACTAGTCCCTTGCCCTCTTACTTACCAATATAGACAGAGCCTGTGCAACTCTTTGTGGTCTTCTAGCTCCCTCACTTTCACTGAACTGAGCAAAAAGCTGTCACCAAGAGAGCGATGTTCATAACACGTTACCTAAAAGTTTTGAATTGACATGCTAGAACATTCAAAAGGTTCTCATCATCTCCAGGCAGCGACACTGAGAAATGCTCCCGAGAGCAGGGCAAGGCTCATAAGCTTAGTGCAAGCTTCAGTTCCAAATGCAGGAGCAAAAATACTAACTAGCTAAAAGTAGGAGGGTTAAAACCAAGGGTTTAAAAAAAAAAAAGGATTAATGTTTCTAAGTTGCTTTCCATCTGTAACTGATTGCTCAGAATCATTGAATGCTAAAGAGCTGGGTGTCACTTTCTGACAAGGTACTAGGAGGGGACATCTTCGACACACTTAAGTGACAACAGCTGTCTTCTGTCCAGCTATTTTTAAATCAAATGAGGTTTTTTTTTTTTATGAAATATACACCCAGCATCAAAGTAAAGCAGAATGTGTCCTCCAAAAAACATTGCACAATGAGCTAGTTTCTCTGCATTCACAAAGCACTAAGACTTCTACACGGCTTTCCTAGCATTCACTCTTCTCACCAGAACGCCCAGCCTCCTGCCCCATTTCCTCCCCTCTCTTTTGTTACAGCACAATAAACTCAATTTTATACATTTTACATCTGCAGTCAATCATAACTCATGCACTTAATCTTACACAAAAGAAAAAGTTGAGCTTTCTTTGAAACAAAAAGAATCAAAGCCTACAGAAAACTCCAGAAATCAATTAAAATGCTGTGATGATTAGACCTCTATCAAAACTATTTTGTGTATGTACATCGTTGCATTGAATTGCTGAAATGTATGTATTCAAACTCTCCATTCACAGACCAGAGCTACCATCTGAATGATACACAATTATCTGGCTTTATTTGGTACAAAAGAAGATGCTGCAAAATACAGAAAGATCTTCCTTTCCAAGACTGTAAATCAAAGCATTTGTAAAAAAATAGAAATTAATCCTTCCACCTCTATCTACCCTATTGCCATGTGAAACTGTCTTATTCCTGTAGATCGCTGTAGCCTGTACATCACTAGAGATTACAGTATTTTAGTCTGAAAATATCTGAAATTGCAGGTTATTTTTAACCTTTCCCCGTACCTCCAATGGAAGCAGTCTCAGCAGCTGTCATCCTCTTTGGGCTCTTACATCACCAGTATGGAAGACAGACCTACTTCGAGCCACTGGTTTTCCATCAGTCCTTAGGACTGGAAAGGTAGAGTCATGTGGAAAAGTCCGCACGTGGGGGATGACCACTGCAGACCCTCACGACTGTCCACTGCTACAGAAAGAGGACAACATTACAGGTAAACACCCGTTTGCTTACCGGCCACAGTATTTTTATTCCCCGTCTGCTCTTGCATGACTGCTGCGTTTATGTAACGTGAAGGAAAAGGCAGCTCCAGAATCGCAGGCGGAAGCCAAGGATTTTAGGAAATACACCACGAAACACAGCTTACGTTGTCATAATAAGCCATAACGATTAAACTCTGGTGGAAAGGGAGGTGGTGCAAAATGCTGAGCACGACATGGGCTCATTTCTCTACTTTAACAAGCCATAGTTAAAAGGTAGTGATGAGGTAACTGTATTCTTCGCGTGTTTTTCACACACTCTTGGTCAGGCACCTTGAGAGTGGGAAAGTAGAAACCTAAATGGATCACATGGCAAAGCTGTAGGACAGAACCGTTACTTGTGGGCTATCACCGACAGCCTCACAGTAACTGGGAAACAGGCGTAGTCTGTTTGAGGGAGAAATGCAGAACAGAGGAGATTCAGTGTCGTTAAGACTTAGGAATTCTTATGGTCTTGCGGAATATTCTAAGGCAGTTTGATCGTCATTAATAGTCAGTACTGACTACTATGAAATCAGAATAGGTACTAAAAACAGGTGATGTAAACCACATGGTAAAACTAGGGGAAAAAAAAAAAATGGAGAGTTGCTTTCACATAAATCAAGGCAAAGACATGACTGAGGCCATGAATGAGCTCCTGGAGAAGCAGCTGACCTACGCTCTCCATCCAGAGGAATACGTGAAACCCATTTTGAGGGCTGGCTTCATTCTGTCAGATGTTTTTCAAGAACCTGAGAAAAGCCTCACAATGAGCACAGCAGGCAGTACGTATCTGCTTGTAAAATAGCCTCCAGAATCACAGTGTAAAAACCAAACATCCCCAATTGGAGCTTTCTTTACCTGTAACTATGGGCGCAGCAGAGGTCCACGTGCTACTGTTCCTAATAGGATTTAACACTTGTAAAACACTTTGAAGAAAAAAGCCATATAAAAAATGCTTTGTATTTATGCAATTATTCTATGAGGTAAAGATGTACAGGCAGCCACGTTTGGCCCACACACAAAAGAAACTTACTGGATGTTTGGTTCAAGGTAAATTAGAGCTTTCCTTTCACCTAATGGGAAACCAGGGCCCGAGCTGCAGAGCTTCTGTATTTACCCTGGGGGCACAAATACGTTCATCTTCAAAGCATCACTTCCTTGCAGCGTTCCGCAGTCCACCGCAGCTGGTATTGCTGATGTTCACAGGTTTCATCGCAACATGCTATTTTGCTTGTAATTATCCAAGAAGAGACATCAATGCCAGTGTTTCAGCAGGCTGGGAATGCAGCCCACTGCTGAAGGTCTTTTACAGACCCCCCTGGCAGCCCGCTCCCCCTACCTGGAGGTGTCGCCAGCAAAACCACTAATCCCCATGTTTGATTACTTACTACCTGCACAAGGAATGTTAACCCAGGCAGAACTTGTGTAAGTTGCTTGAACTGCAGACCAGACTTTCAGAAAACTGTATTTAGATATCTATAGTGTTCCTCACATTATGATACCAATATTTACATCTGAACAACTGTATTTCTATTTGGCGAGCTGTGTATCTGAGGGGAAACCATCCTGAATAATTGTGTTGATTAAGGTTAAGAAGTAAAGGCATTCAAATATTTTTTAGTCACTGCAAGATTTCTAATAATATAATTTTTTTCCCCACACTAATTTTATTTCTAGAAATAGATTCATGAAATGCTAATTATACCACTTAATAGCCTCTATTGCAGACTCAAGTGGCACTCAAGAAATTTGGAGATTCTAAAACAACCCATTTGGGATTTGGGAAGAGACAAGGTAATGTCAAGAAGTAACAAAGCCCCCAAATAAGTGATTATTGCTGTATAGTTTCTAGCATAACATTGGACATGATTGCTTATGTGTTAATTTTGGCTTAATTATATGCTAAGTTCTGTGGTATGGAATTGGAGCATCAAATAAGGATAAATAACAAGATCCAGGACTCAAAGACCAGTCTCTCTGTTACTCAGAGGACTTCTATGTAGCAGCTTCAGTTGAATTTTAAATAATTCCCTTGCAAGATTTTTGTTAGTCCCTTACAGCATCAGGTGGTGGGGTACAAAAGGTATATTGACCTGACTACACACGTAGTGAGATACTTCCAAGAAAGTCCTTTTCCATATCCAACCAGTGAAAATGCATTCTATCCATGCACCAACAATCTTTCTACTACTATCAAAAGATACACTTTCAAAGAGCAGTGGGCCATGCTCGATAGGCACCTGGCACCGGCAAAGACACGAAAATTTATATTTGGACAAGTCACTCCCAAGACAGACATATTTGCTCGCTATTTAATTGAATTTCCTTTAAATCTTTGTTGGCAGTTTAATGGGACAAAACAAGGTCAAAAAGACAAAAGGTGGCAAGGTCTAAATGCAAGATGACCCTCTGTTCCAACTCTGCAAAAGACCTAAGAACATTTATGCCTTCAGAATACAATTATATTTGAACAGTGTGTAACAGCAAGGAGAACATTCATCAGAATACTGTATGGTTAAAACTAGCTTAGATGGATTTTAAATTGACCAGCCATTAAAAATTACTGAGACCCACCTGATCAGCCATGAATTCTGAGAGGTTAAGTGTGACAGTCTGGCAGAACTTAAATATTGGGACTCGAATTAATGCACAGCTGAATATGAAGGGCAGAGTGTCAATATAATGTGCTGATGCAACCATACATAGTGATCCGTTTCTTTAATCTTTAGACTTTATATAAAGTTGGTCAAGACCTTGTCTTGCCTAGCGGAGTAGCAGATTCCAGTGCACAAAGTGTAAGGGAGAGAAGCTCCTGTGGCTTGATCCATCAATCCTACTTGAAGGCCTGAGCTTCGACCTTGATGGTTTTTTTCACTTGTTCAAATCTCTCTCAGGATGAACAGCTTACTTTAAGATCCTTGGCCCAAGCTGGGGGGCGCAGGGAGTAGCCTGCTTTCTCCGCAGCCTGCTGTCTCTGAAAGGGATGTTGTAAAATCTGCTGCAGGAGATGAACCTGGAAGCAATTAAAATGGATAAGTGTTTAGACCAAATGTTTTCCTGCAAACAAGAAAAGACTCTGCCACTTCATATTATGCACCCTCCTGGCTCCAGAAACTATTCCATGAGCTGCTTACTATTATTAGTACTACTGTTCATATAGTCACTACTATTTATGTTAAAATTAATACTATTAATAGTTTTGTTAATATTTTTAATTCTAATTGGTATTAGATAGTAAAATGTTGGTCAAAGTGTAAGATAGGTTCAAAGTGTAAATACAACTCTCATTAACAACTATGCCAATTATTAATAAACATGTCAAGAAAGAAATAATTTTACCTCTGAGAAATCATTCAAATTAGCTTTTTGCACTGCTGATTCTGCCATCCAATTCCTAAGTATGTATCTAGGATTAACAGCTGAAACCAAAAGTAAATTGTGTTAAATTTAGTCAGACATACTCAACAAAAGCAAAACACAGTCATTGAAATGTGTCATTGAAATCTTCAAGAAGGTTTAATTTGCAGATCAAGAAAAAAATGCATAAAAAGGGAAAGGAATTAATTGATCTATTTCTTTTTAGGAGGTGCTAAAAGGATTTTTTTAAACTTGCACAACCAGTAATGCCAAAGTGCCAAAAAAAATAAGAGTAGTATAGAACAGCACATTGATACACAAAGGATTTCCTCTTATGAACACGAGCAGACTTTCAAATGTGATTTGTTTACCATGGCCTAGGTTCCTGCTACATTGTTGGAAGGTGTATTTCAATGTTGTCAATACATTCCCGGAGATCATAAAAATTATTATTTAATGTAAAAAGGAATTATTGAGATATTCATTAGAGTATATGTACTTATATATTCCTTCTTCTGTATCAAACGTTTGGCCATAAAAGCCTTTAATGTTGGATTTCAGGCATATTTTTTAGAAACTACTTTTTCAACTTTGTCATTCCTTTTAGTTTCCAGGGGGGTGGGGTGGGTCACAGAATCACAAGGGTTGGAAGGGACCTCGGGAGATCATCTAGTCCAATCCCCCTGCTAAAGCAGGTTCTCCTAGAGCATGTTACACAGGACTTCATCCAGGCGGGCTTTGAATATCTCCAGAGAAGGAGACTCCACAACCCCCCTGGGCAGCCTGTTCCAGTGCTCTGTCCCCACAGTTTTTTCCATAACTGTCTGCTGTATCTTCTTGGAAACACCCATGACAGCTGCACTGCTTTTCTGGCATGCTCCAGGCTGATTGCGTCTCTTAATTAGCAGTAGGGAGATTGCAGGGACATTGAAAATTAAGCTGCTGAATTAGTAACCCATGGACTTGAAACCAAAAGTCTGTGATTTATGGACATACACAAACTTCATCTGTTCCTTCCCTTTCCATTGATGTCCCAGTAGGTTTTATATGAACATAAGTTCAAACCAAATATTTTCTATAATGTATTTCTTTTAAAAAAATCCATATAGCTTTATAAAATATTCTTATGAATATTCTTACAGCATATTGGAAAGAGGGTATTAGAGAAAACAGAGTATTCATCAAAATCACCATCCCAAATTTCCCTCTACTCAGTTCCCCTAATCAGTCAGTTAGCAATCAGTTATTAATCAATGTTATTTTATTTACAACGAATAAATTATATTAGGAGGGGGATGATCAGAAACAGTATTTTGGATAAAAGGATTAAACTTAATCTATTTCCATTTCCCAGTTCATTCTGTTCTTGCATCTGCTTCTTTGGCTTGCAAACATAACTTGTTTATCCTAGCTGACGCCCAAGACAATTGATGCCTTTGAGAAAAGCTATGACTGGCTCCTTCTAAGGTTCTGTGGCCAGACAATCGCAGGACTTTATTCGTATTTCATACAGAATTAGCGCCTAGCGCAGTGAACAGAGTTCTCTGTAGTAAGCACTGCTTCTACAAAGCACCATTTAACCAGCTAACAAGCTAGAATTTACTGAAGCTATGTAATCAGTGAAACAGCACTTGCATGATTATTTTACGTATCACGATACATCAACTGAAAGACAGCCATTTTAAGCCACAAGATTTGACATACAGCAGCATTACACAGAGGGTCCTTATGGTTTTTTTGAAAAGTAAAGGACAAAAATAATCACTCTCTGCTCCAAGTGCTCAACTCTGAGCACTCACGTTCCTGCCAGAGGAGAGGTGAAGCCCTCTAACAAAACCAGAACACGGGCTGAAATCAGAAGCATCTCAGGTGGCACTGCCACTCCCTCCCTTACGAAATCTGCCCAGGTAGTAGAACAACAGAACAACATTCTGCTGACTTCCATGAGAAGGAAGACTGAGGTGCAACCCACCCAGCAACAGACATTCTTCTTTTTCACATTACCGCTGTTCTGGAGGTACTTACATACATTAAACAAAAGCCAAGAAATACCACTAACTGTTTGGAACCCTGATAAACCTCTACATAGTCATAAAACAACACCCTGCCCTAACTGCTAGAAAAATAGTGGTTTCCCACTTGGCAAAATAATTTGCTCTGGCCAAGTGTTTAATTTAATCCAATAAATGGGTTTTCAATCATAAAGTGTGATAACAAGATAAAAAGAATATTTAAAAGGTGGAGAAGTTAACATATGACTCATACAAAAAATGATAATTCACATTAAAACCATGACTCATATTAGCAGGAGAATATTTGTCCCAGAAATATATTCTTAACAATTGCAAATTGACAAGTTTCAGAGTGGCATTAAAAATATCTGTAATTAACACAAATGACAAGATAATTATGAAAGAGTAAGACAAGCCAGATAAGAAAAGGACAAAGCAGAAATTTTGTGCCCTTATGAGCATTTTACGATCTGGTCTACAATTTTTTTTTTTTTTTTTACATGTTTCATTTGTAGAGAAATACAATTATAGACCTGTATTGGGATTTGAATTATCAAAACTTTTGGACCAACTCCTAAAGGAACTAAGTTTAGGCAGTGCAAGATAAAGTGCTACCAAGAACTAAAAGCTAAATGAAGAGAGAAAAAAATAGTAAGTTATCAACTTCAAATGCTTCAAGGTAATGTACTTTGAGAAGTGAGATCTTTTACTACACTTACTAATGAGGAGGGAAAGGTAATGCATAATGAAGTGTTAATGGCAATATATTCAAGGTCAGTCAATACTAAAGACAGCCATACAAAATTTAGTGGGACTTACCAACCCATATAAAAACCTAGAGAGCCACGACAGTTTTATCTTTAGCATGAAATGCTGGGTAAAAATGCACAGCTGACTGAGTTTAGCCAGATTTCTGCTGCAAGTTGTACTCACAAGGGACAGCTGTTACAAGCAAATGCTTAAAAAAAACCCAAAACCCACCCAATTTTAAAGAGACCATAAGGGGCATCTAAGAGATCTATTTAAATGTAGAGATGTAAAAGAGAACAACAAAAAAAAAACCACTGCAAGAAACTTCAGTCACACTGTAATATGGAGCAGCTAGCAAAAATGTAACAAGATTTGTTGATTTTAAAAGGAAAATTAAATTTTAAATAAAACAATAACAAATTAACATCAGTAACCTGTTACAAATTACTGCAGCCCTGCTGCATGAATGTAGTGACAACTGATTATACAGAAGAAAACTTCACTAACTTAATCATGAATCTTTTCATATCAAATTTTGGACTGCTCCCAAAGCTGAGACCACTAGCACAAGTGTGATCCTGGAGGCAAAACCTTTTCCTTGTTTTGTCTGTCCTGTACTACAAGATCCTCCGAGGTTTCTGTGGAAAAACATGATGCTGGTTTGCAGAAGATCATCCTCAAACTAGGATCCCTTTTTGATTTGGAATAAAAACTCAGAATGTCATGGTTTTCTATAAAAGCAGGTTCAAAATACACAGAAAAATAAGTGTGTTTAGACAGTTTTCAGCATTAAATTTAAGCTGAGGAAAACGGGGAGCTCGAAACCTCAAAATAGTAGTTGAGCTAAGAGCCTCAGAGTCCCAGAGCTGAAATTTTTTAACCCTGCTAAAATACAAATAATAAACCAAACCTTTCTTCTTGGTAACTGTTTTCATATCAGCTTTCTAAAAATAATGTAAAATTTTAAGAAGTGTTCTTAAAAATGGATAGAACCTTGGTTAGAAAATGCGGATGAAAACTTGAAGGTCCGTGGGATGAGCAATTGTGCCCTATGTTTTACTGTCTTATTACTGAAAGTCGATGCTATCTCCTGCCATTTTCCTAATAAATCAGTTAAAGCTTTTGAAGAAAGAGGCCAATCAATATCTAACAAAAGAGTACAGACATTTCCATTAGAAATGAGAATAAAACACCCTGCAAAGCAGCATAACATAGAAGCTTATAATATCTCTTGTGCTGAATTTGATCAGATCCTGCATTTCCTTCATACCCTTTTGGCCAGAGATTTTCAGTTGCTCATTATCTTTTATAGGCAAATTTCACAAATTTACCACAGCTTACAGCAGATCCAAAAAAATCTCTCCCTGAATAATTCTTAGAATTTCATATCCACTGTTTCTGCTGTGATAGACAGCTGACTGCAGTACCTCTACCATTCTGTATTTAGAATAACTTGGAGAATCAAAGTACATTCCTTTGGCTTCCATGACTAGATAGTCCTTTCACAAGTAAGGAGTTTTTTTCTCCAGGTGCAGAAAAAAAAAGTGGGTGCCTATCAGAAACCTGAATTCTTTATAGCATGTATAAAGGATTTGGACATATCTGAACACTCAGACAAATCCTAATCCATTGAGACAGTACAGGATGCCTACCAGAATCTTTCCTGATGGTATCAAAAGGTTCATCATTGGAGAACAATGTTCTTCTGAGCAATGCAAACTGACACATTCACAGACTGCTAAAGGAAGGAAGTACAGATCAAGGGAAAGATGTTGCTTGCACTCAGGAAAAGCAGACACAGCAGAAAAGGAAGGGCATTTCTCACAAGAAAATCAAATCCTAGGGGCCCTTCCAGGAAGCACCCTACTTTGCAATGAAGAATTACAACTTGGGGAGCAGCCAGAGCACATCCACCATTTCAAGACACTACAGTGAAGTCCCACTTGAGACATGACAAGATGCAGACAACCATGTTCCCACAGGCCAATAATTCTTCAGTTCTTAAAGGGAATCAAAAGGGGAAAAAAAGCCTGAATCAAGTCCACGAGCACCAAAGTATGGAACAAGCTGGAGGCCTGGCATCTCCTGAACCCCCAAATTGTAAAGAAGGGGGTAAAAAAAAATTAAAGAGAAAAAAAGAAATATAAAAAGGGAAATAAAAATAAGGGAAAGAAAAATAAGCAAGTAGGTAAGTGAGGATTGATAGGACCATAGCTAGACAGCTGAGTTGGATCGCTTCAGTGTCTATATTGACATATGGTGTGACACAGGTCAGAGCAGCCTTTGTGGATACAACAGGAAAAGCCTTCTTCATGAAGTCTTCATCACTTGTGATTTCAAAATATGAACAGGCATGTGCTCTGTCATTCCAAACCAGCAGAATCTAGAGAAGAGCAACTTGGACTAATAGTTGCAGTGCATTTCCATGATCTCACACTCTTATGCCTCAGTCAACGGGTATGACTACAACTACATGGAAGTGTTGGAGCGGGTCCAGAGGAGGGCCACAAAAATGATCCGAGGGCTGGAGCACCTCTCCTATGAGGACAGACTGAGAGAGTTGGAGTTGTTCAGCCTGGAGAAAAGAAAGCTGCGGGGAGACCTGATTACGGCCTTTCAATACCTAAAGGGGGCCTATAGGAAAGATGGGGAAAATCTTTTTAGTAGGGCCAGCTGTGACAGGACAAGGGGTAATGGTTTTAAACTAAACCAGGGTAGGTTTAGACTAGGTATAAGGAAGAAATTCTTTACAATGAGGGTGGTGAAACACTGGAACAGGTTGCCCAGAGAGGTAGTGGAGGCCCCATCCCTGGAAGCGTTCAAGGCCAGGTTGGACGGGGCTCTGAGCAACCTGATCTAGTTAGCGGTGTCCCTGCTCCTGCAGGGGGGCTGGACTAGATGACCTCTAGGGGTCCCTTCCAACCCAAAACATTCTATGATTCTATGATTATATTCACAACAGAAGGGGTTTGGGCCAGACCAAATTCTTCACAAACGCAGACAATTAAATTAAGATTATTTTTTTTTCTTTTTAAAGGAGGGGAAAAGGAGGATCCCTAAGGAGGAGGTGAGCCTCATTGTAGCCAAGGATCATTTAGCTTATGTAAGAACTACGTATATATTCACAGGTCTAGCCATACACACGTGGCTAGATTCAAATCACAAGAGTGGGTGAAAACAGAGATAGCCACAATGAATGTATAGTATTACCAGACTTGCAGCAGTGTAATGAGAGTTTCTCCTCTTCAGAAAACCATTACATTTTAGTTCTCCTCAAAAGGAAAAGTAGCTAACAGTAAAGGAACCTGTGTAAATAGAGAGTTGACATCTCCAAGATTCCTTTGCATTGTTTTACTTACTTGTCATTCTTGTTCTTCTCTTGGTGTCTGAATCACCCTTGTTACTAGACGTGAAAAACAAACCAAAAGAAGAAAATAAGAAAGTGCTTTAGCTAATGAGGGTTATGCTTAGTTATTTTTAGAAATATTTTATTTGACTTTCATTAAAATCATTAAGTGTTCTGCTTCTGTGTTGAGTGGAAGCAGGTGTGAATCTCTAAGAATGATTAGACTTGGAAAAAACTGCGCACTTTCTTGTAGGTTTTGTATCTTGTATTGGTATTTTCCCTAAGAATTATATTTACTGGCTAAAATTTCCAAGTACCTGATAGGTACTTCTTTTCACTACTAGCAGCCATGCATACCATATATGACTAAGAAAACCATGTTACATTCTTTACTGATTTAAGACAAAAGAAATGGTAGGAAATTCTAACAAGCATGTCCCTGTCTGTGCAATACCAGCAGTTTCCAAACACAGTCTGTGTATTCACAACTGTTCAACTTCACCCCCCATCATCCTGAAGCCACACTATTACATAGTAAAAAATGTATGTATTACCAGTAATGAAACACTATTCATTCCTATGTATTTGCAAAGCCTGCTTGTGATTCTTGGACTGGATCTGTAGGACTGGTATTTTAAGAAAAATGATTTAACAAAAGAAACCTGATCGGTTCCTCAGTAAAGGGCAAAAAACACAGACCACTCCTCCCATATAATTTTTATGTACCTGTGTGTCAAAACAGAACTACAATAGTCATTATTATGGAATCTAGCACAATCTAGAACCATAAAGACAAAAAAAGGTATATGAAACCATGTTTGGGCCAGTTTACCAGACCCACTAAAGATTATGGAAAAACATCGCAGATTAAAGTTGCCTGCTTCTGGCAAATACACATCTGGTGTTATTTTTACACTTGAAACTGCATCAGACTTACCGATTTAATCTCAAGAGGTACATAGTAACCCATTCTGAAAATAACTCGTGTTTACCTAGATCCTGGAGAGCCCAGAACTCCTGAACAGAAAGAAACAGTTAATGGCAGGTAGTCAGAATTTTGTTCCTGTTAAGCAAAAACCAAAGACAAACAGAAATAAGTCAGAAGTTGGGGAAAGGTAATGAAGTTTCCCAGGCAAAGTGAACAATATTCCTCAAGTGGAAAAGGCACTGTATTAAAGAAAAAAGGAAAAAATCATTTTGGTTCTTGCAAAAAGGCTTCCTATTTTTCTTTCAAGATCAGGTACTTACAAGCTTTCTTTTCAGAATTTCCCCTCTGCATTTTTATCCAATTATAATTTGCCTAGCATCTCACTCCAGTTCAAACATTTCTGCTGTATTTCCACTTCTAAAGATTGCACTATATCCAGGTAAGAAGTTTATCTCTTTTATTTTAATACTCTCATCTCTTTTATGGTTATATTTGGTCCTGAAAAATAAGTTTAGGCTGAGTTAGCAGCAACAGGATGGGACAGCAGGCTGAGCAGGACACAATAGCAAAATGTATTCTTATGCTTGAAGCTACATTTAGAACTAGTTTTGTGCCCACGAAAAGGGCAGAGGTCACTATGGGCTGAAATTCTAGCAAGAATTTATGGCGAGATGGGATCTCACTTATTGTTAGATATCGAGACAAACTGGTGGGCCTGAGAGCAGGGGTTTAGGCCACCTGGTAAACCGAAGTTAGGAATAGTTTGACTGATCCGAGGTTGAAATTTTCCTTAAGAGCCCTGTCCAACTTCACTTGTGTCTTACAAAATACTATCAGAAGGTATTCTTAGGCAAAACAAAAAAAAAAAGCGAAGGGGAGGGGAGGGGAAGGAAAGTTCTTCCTAGCAGACCCATCTTAAATGTGAAGAAAATCATATTCCCACCTCTGTATGAATATTTATGGCTACTCATATTGGACCTGTACCAGAGGCTGAAAATCTGACTTCAACACTCTTCATTAACATATCTTTCATTAGCACTCTTCATTTATGTATCCTTCATATCAGACACAGGCTTAACATGGGGTAGTAGCATGACACAGATACATTAGTCTCCCTGTCCCTTACTAATGCTACAGTGACACATTTCCCAGACAATCATGGCTTGAGACATTCTCTATTATACCAGGGTTATGTCCAACTTGATTTACTCATTTTATATTAAGTATTCCTAAAACTGGGTGCTTGTATTAATACCTCAGGAATATGGAGCTCCTTTAACTGGTCTTCAGTAATTTCACTGAGCTCTCGAAATGTCATTGTAAAATCAGCCTTTGTATCTTCCATAAGCTAGTGAAATAAAGATACTTTTATCAGTGTTTTTAAAGTATGGGGTATCATTTCAGATGTTTGTCAATGAAATTAGCAAAGCATACTCACTTTTAGGAGGAAAGCAATCAAATAGTTATCATCTTCGTTCTCCCCAAGAAGACCCAATTTTGTTTTGAAGAGTTCTGTGAAACTGAAAATAGTAACAAAGTAAGGAAATTGTCACATAATATAATTTATAGTATTGTGGCTAGAAGGTTTGAGTTCTGGAACTGCATACCGTCTGTAATAGTGCTCACCAAACCCTTCCAAAATCTGGGAAGCTCTGCAAGAACAAAAGAAATGTCAAATTCTATGGAACTAAAATACTACTGTGGGTACAATCCTACTGTACTCTAAACAATTAAAAGTTCTGTCTGATATCTCACAAACATTGATATTCTGAATCAATTGAGATCTGTAGCAGGAAAAAGACTGAGCAGAAACATTTTAACAGGCTTCAAATACTTAAATAGTGGCTGCAAAGAAGAAAAATACAATGTTCTTTTTTTTCATAGTGAGTAAGAAGTCATGACTTAAACCACACAAAAGACTCATATTAGGAATCTTTACAATAGGATATTAAAACACTACCTCATTCCTTCAAGGAGGACGTATGGTCTTCATAAGGAAGCATCTTAAAGAACAAGCTAGACAGACTTAGAACAGAAAACTAGAGGCAAAGGTCCTTGCTGAAAGGAGAATGGACCACACAACATCTAGAACTGCCTTCCAATCATATTTTGCTATTATTTATGACCAATGAAAACCTTCCTCCCCTCCCTCCAACCTTATTCTGGCCAATAATTAATTCAAAATCAATTTCCACTTAGAAAAAAAAAGATTTTACAAGCTAATCCCTTTCTTTCCTATGCATATGGTGATTAGAGGGTCTCCCATCTCACTAGTTCTTTTAAGCGTTAAGATATTTTAAGGATTACTTACAGCTGCTTTTGCCTGGGATCCAATAAAGGTTTTAGAGCTTGTAACAGCTTGCTCAGATTAAACAGCCCAGCATTTGCCTGGTTTACTATTCTATACCTCCTTTCATCATCAGATGTGTTTGGAACAAAATCTGTTTCAAACAAAACATTATTTTTCCACAACAGAGTAATTACAATAAACAATCAATGTTAAATATTGAAGTGCATTCATTTTTATATTTACACAGCAAATTAATAAAAGCCCTAAAGTTACTAAATATTTAAAATCAGATCACAAGGATACTTATTCACAGTGAATTAACTCAAGATCTATTATTTGCAAATCTAAGGAATACATCCTTCACAGACAAGTTCCCACATGTCACGAGTGACATTTTCCTACCTGAAGACAAAAAATTAATTCAGATGTTCAAACAGAAAAAGACCACTTTTACACTAAAACCAATGTCTTATTCAATGTTTTTACTACACATAGCACTACTACTTAGCACACAGACTAAGCAAACAACTGTATAACCAGATTCAGGATTTATAAGTATTTTTGGAAAAGTGACATGTATAAACATGTATTTAAATAAACAGGCTGCCTAAGCAAGATTCGTTTCAATTGTACAAGCAAGCTTTCTGTATTCACATAAAAATTAGGGCTAACGTGTTCCAATATGCAAATCCATTATTTGGGAGATAATAAATATCTGCTATGTAAGTTACAGCAGTCCAGAAGTAAAATGTATGCATTACTACAGCACCAGTCTCTGAATGGATGCAATGTGAACCCCTTGCTCAGATCAAATGCAGACAAACTGATCAATGCACACAGCATTGCCCGAGTCCTCAAAGGACATTAATAAAAAATGGAGCATTAAGGAGGAGACCTGTGACACATCTGTCAGATCTGGTGATGGGTTCAAATATGAATTTTAACTCTAAAGCATTCCATCTGCTTCTAGGGTGTACTGGCTCTGGCTGGGACGGAGTTAATTTTCTTCAGAGCAGCCTGTACGGTGCTGTGTTTTAGACTTGTGACTAAAACAGCATTGATAACACACCAATGTTTTAGCTATTGCTGAGCAGTGCTCGCACAGCATCAAGGCCTTCTCTGTTCTCACTCTGCAACCCCAGCAAGTTAGGCTAGGGGTGGGCAAGGGGCTGGGAGGGGACACAGCTGCGACAGCTGACCCCTACTGACCAAAGGGATATTCCATACATATAACAGCATGCTCTAGGCGTAGTTTTTCCAAGGCAGATGTTGCTTAAGGACTGACTGGGCATCAGGCTGGTGGTAGGAGGTGGCAAGTGATTGCCTTTGCATCACTTGGTTGGCCCTGCCCCTTTTTTTTTCCCTTCACTTATTCAACTGTCTTTATCTTGACCCATGAGCTTTTTTTCATCTTTGCTCTTCCAATTCTCTCCCCCAACCCGCAGCAGCTGGGAGTGAATGAGTGGCTGGTGGGTCCTTAATTGCCAGCTGGGTTCAACCCACCGTATAGAGAAAGACCTAAAACCAGAAAAGCCCTGGTTTTTCAATATAACACAAAAAATATGACTTTTTTTCTCATGAGATTTCTTTAATTTGAAGCTGTAGTCTCATGAAAACAGACAGCAAGTTAACCACTGCTGGTTCTGAAGCCTACTCACGTGCAACTCCTAAACAATAATCTAATAATATGCATTTACGTACATAATAGACCTCTATCAATCCCAGACTGACTCAGTTCATACTTTCAAAGAAAGGTTGCCATGACTGGGTAGGTTTGATTTGTTTTCTTCCAACATATAATTAGCTGCTGTGACTATAAAGCATGCAAAGTTACTGTATCCACTTTTGCTTTTGGCTGCTTACAGCAATATGCCATTTTTAGTTTTCTAGGTTTCTGTTGTAGCATCTATTCAACTGATGAAGTCCAACTGGAAACGTTCTCATGAAAATGGGTTTAACAGTAATATTTATTTAACAAGATGTTTAGCACTTGAAATGCAGCTTGTATAGTGTATCATAAAACTGGCCTCTGTTACAATTTTTTCCCTAAAACTCTTCAAACAATACACATGCTTGGGATTTTTTCGCTAATAATGTCAGGAGTTTTCATGCACATAGTAAACTACAAAAATTAATATAAAGAATTTATTTTAAGTAAAAAAAAAAATTTAAAAACAGGTGCTACACTCACTTGGGTCATAGGAGTCCATAAATCCAAATGGACCATAATCTATTGTTATGGATAATAAACTGAAGTTATCTGTATTGCACACACCTACAATTAAATAAGGAGGAAAAAAAAAAGTTAAAATTCCACCTGCACCCTGTAGTCTTTAGAAAATTTGCTGTGAAATAGATCCACTGACTCTAGAGATAACTTTGGAGCAGTTACCTTTCAGAAGTCAGACTCAGGAAAATAAACTTGTCTCTCTTACTCTTGACCTGGCATGCATTTTTACATCTGAAAATTAGAAACTGTTCGCTACGTTATCTTGCATCTGGTTTCCATACCTAGGTGGCACTGTTTCCTTTTCCTTTCAGTGCTATGCAGTATTGAAACGGCATCTTGCAAATTGGTCATTAGCTACTTCCTTGCAAGTTGACCGGGTGCTGGATTAGCAAGACAATGCTATTTTATTTTTCATAATATAAATCTGAAACAAGGGTGGGCAGCACTGTATCCTATACACTATACAAGGCCAGGTTTTTATGTAGATGCAACAGATTCAGAGCAATTAAACTTATATATGACATCAATACATGGTCTTTGTACATCAGACTGTTACAACAATTCTGAGAATTCTTACTCCCATATTCTTGCTCCCGTATTCTTGCTTTTGTCAGGTACAGTCATGCTTTGAAAGATCAGAAAGTGCTCCTAACTCTGTTATGAAAAAACTTGTATATTAATGCATAACAGATACTGCTGTAGGTGAAGACATCAGAACTGAAGAATGAAGTCACAAATAAGAGCCATCTTTAAGTATATAACTAGAAAGAGTCACTCCTGTAAAGCCAATGCCATCTACTGCAGCTTACCATGTGCAAACCCCACAGACATCCACAATGCAATCAGATTTGCAGTCTCTGATACGACTGTAGAGAAAAATTCCTAAAATCAAATACATCTTTTAACTTCAAGTCCTTTGAATCAAAAATATGGAGCACCATAAAGAACACAAACATTTGATTCACTTTAGAAATATATCATACATTATATTTTTAAATGTGTATCTCTGCCTGTCGGGACTTTTCATTCATATTCTAAATGATGTGACTGCATAATAACCTTATCCAGCAAAGACTATGGTTAAATAAGTACATACAGATGCCCTAAAAGAAATTTAAAAGTCAAAAAAAGAAACACAGACATTATATATACTAGTATATATATCAGTATGTACTATATATGCTACATTTATACTAGAAGAAGCATAATTCATCACTTCATGACCACTGCTCACCTAAAATCTGAGCAGTAAGAGAACGAAAAATAACAGAAAATGAAAGCTTCCCAATAAACATTTCCATAATGAAAAGTGGTGAAGAATGTTCATATATGACTTTGAGAAAAAAAACTTTAAGCAGCAGGTTTTTACTGAAGAGAATTAACAAACTTTCACTGACAAAACCTGGAAGCCTACTTCAAATTTTAAAATCTTTTAAGACTTAAAAGTTTGAAAAGCTTTGTATAAATTTTGTTCACATGCTTGTGGAAAATAAAAATAACTTTTAAAAAAGACTTACCAGATATCTATTTGAATCATTCATGGCTATTGATGGAAAATGTTCCTGGATGATAAAGTCTAGCAACCTTCTGTAATAGGAGAGGCAGAATTCTTTAAACAAAATTGGTACTTTTAGAACTGATCATTCAAAATTCTTGTTTTCAAACAGCTAAATGCTGACCCACAGCTTGCTGCAAACAGTTACGAGAAAACTCAATCTATTTATTCTAATGAGTCTTGGATTAAGCCCTTCCAAATGCTTAGAGATAAAACCTAAGGTTCCAGTCATAAATATGACTAGAGACTGCCACATAGAGTTAAAACTATTCCCACGTGTTAAACTTCCAAAACACACCAGAATCTGGTTTTGCATGCAGTGTATGTGTGTGTATATATATATATATATATGCAATATAATTTTTTTAGGAAAAAAAAAAGTTTGCATATCCAAAAAAAAAAAAAGTATGTGATTACAAGGAATAATTCTACATCAGGATTCTCACAAAGAAAATTTTATTGCTGAATTCTTATGAAGTAGGGGTACTTGCCATAGTAACTGGCCATTCCCAAAACAGTGCTGCACAGTCCTACAAGACAGGCTCAGGAAATTGGGATACATGCATTAAAAACCGCAATGCCTGTCAGATGCATATCTTTGCAGATCTAAAGCTTTCAAGTAGAGCAGCTGGCATTGAGTACATTTAGAAGCTCCCTGTAGGACACTCTTGTGGTCAGAACCAGCCAGGGCCACTGGCACAGGAAGCTGTAAGCACCTTCTACGGGTGTGGCAGGCAACCTGGGCAAGGGTTGGACCTGGGCAAGGGTTGGACCTGGGCAAGGGTTGGACCTGGGCAAGGGTTGTGCAGCTGTGCACACAAGTATCTAGATTTTACCTTTTAGTCAGGTTGTTGGAACAAATCACTGAACCCTCCTCAAACTGTGATGATTTTACCAGAGTACCTAAGCAACCTGACCTTTAGTAGGGTGTCCAGCCTATTGCCTCTGAGTTTTAGCTGGTTGCTCCAGACATCCTCTTTCAGGAAGACCTTCTCTGAGGGGGAGCACAGACAGTCACACTGGCCTTGGCCTGCTCTTGGCCACTCTTTTGGAAGCCCCTTCCAAAACAGGCAGGAAGGAGTAATCTATTTTGCATGAGTACAAGTGATCTTTACATGCTTCTAAATCCAATGGGTCACAAATACTTTAACCAAAAAAACCCAAACCAAAACTTAACATCAGTTCCGTAATTCATTCTTTCATCAGTTTTACAACTAAAATCTGCTGTGAGATTTCAAAAAAAAAGGAAAGAAAGACAGCGTAGAGTGATGTGGGAAGTTAAGTTGGATTATCAGTTGCTACAATGTACAAATGCTGCTCTGAGCTCTTGCTCATGAAGCACCCCAGAACAATTTCTATTGCTCCTGAGGAGAAACGACCAACTTTTAAATATTTACATTGGACCTAAAAATTTGTCATGCTGATTGCTTGACACACAAATTATTATTGCTAAGAGGCTTAAAACCGTGCAATAATTCTTTACCTAGTATACTTCTCTGGTTCTGCGTGTTTCTGGAGAGCATACTTTATACAACATACTTATGATAGTGATTTATATCCTATTTCTGTTAATTTAGCTTCATAGACAACTATGAGAAATGTAGGAGCTTATATTTTAAATTTACACATCTTTCCAAAACAAACAACTCCTCCCTAGTGCTTAGTTACCAGAACTATTTCAGCTATAAAACCTTTCTCATTTTGTAAGATCCAAGCTTTCAAAACATCTAGGGGGTTTCACCTTTAAGAGGTAAGATTTTTGTATGCTTGTCTAAAAATAGCAGGTTATCTTTCTAAATCATGCAATCTTCCTTTCTAAATAATTTATGTCTAAATTCCAACCGTATATATGCATTCTAATATATATTTGATTGTTAAGAAACTAATAGTTATTATGAAGATTAAATTCAAACCTTTGTAAGTCCAGTTCCCCAGAATGAGCTAAGATTTCTAAGGATCCTATACGAAACCATGATTTGGCAAGACGTAGCACTACTGCACCTTAAAGATAGACATGTGTTTAAATGTAAACAGAGTATCAGCAAAATAAAATTGTTCCACAGTAACAGCTGTCATGAGTCATTTCTATAGATGCAGAACTTATATATGCATAGTTAAACTGGTATTTTTGTAAGTACTCTCAACGCATAACAGATGAATATGTATAATATCAGTTTATTACACATGCATTTTAATGATAAAGCTTAATTTGCTATACCAGCAAACACAGGTAAAATTCCAGTACTGCATTAATACCAGAATTACTCCAGAGATGCTAGCAACAAAGAAAGAACCAATATAAATAGATTTTCCCCCATGCTGTGCCATCCCACTCCTTTTCAGAGCAGGTGTAGATGATGTAGCAACGGCACAGCCACAGTAGCATTCCCACTGTCCTAGTATTGCTATCGGAACAATGGAAAATTTCCCTAGTTTTCAGTATATTTTTCGTAATGGCAAGTGAAAATGAAAATTATACCCCTACAACATATATGCCACAATCATAGCAGACCTGTTCATAGGGCTTCATTTCTTTAACTAAGATACGTTTCAGACTGATTTTCTCAGGAGAGGTTTTATATCTTAATAAATGAAATGAAGCCTATTTAGTATTTTTTATTACACATATATCACATATTAAAATTAATTTTTACAATGGAGAATTAAGTTACAGTGTTGCACATATTATTTTGAAATATGTTCATTACCTCTTTCTTTCTTAATATTTCCGTTGTAAAACTGGTCTCTCCACACATCATCATCACTGACAACTAAGCTGTAGCAAACAAGAAATGATCATTAAAAAGTTGTCTCAGGAAAAATAATTTACAATTAAGATCAAGTAATATTTTATATAACTCTAGGTCTTTCATAAAAAGAAAGATCTTTTTGCTGCCATAGCTTTGTATTTACAAATGACACAGGCAAACAGTAAGCCAAGGCTTACCAAGCTTCATTAGCAAGATGCATTTATTTTGTATTTATACAATGCTGTCCAGTTTCCATTACTTACGCTGTTCTTGGGGAGAGGGTTGCATTCAAAAAAAAGTACTGCATTCATTTGGAACCTCAGTGACTGATTAGTGTGATGATACATTAAATAAGTCACAATTTCCCTGAGGACAACAGTGAAATTAGAAGGACAGGGAAATCAGAAACCAAATTGTTGCATCAGATGGAGGCTGCCCTTTATGTGAGCCAGAACTGTTCACAGATCTGGGACCCTTAGCAATCAGGAACTCTTCAAACAGTATCAACATACAAAATGATGATACATTATAAATATCCCTTTCTTCTTCACTGCTACTTGTACTTGGATTTTTAAAAACAATCTCTTCCTTTCTTTTGCCTTAAAATTCTGCACATCCTATAAATTTTCATGTTTATCCAAATACCAAGATTTCTGAGTGCTTGGAACAACTTTGCTTGCTCTAAAATATTTCACAACTTACATTCATTTTACAAAATAAAACATGTAAAGTCACTGTATTTTCTGTTATATCAGGGAAAAGTAAAACAGAAACAATCCTGACAATCTATGCAAGGGCATCATATTCCCCTAAGGTTAACATGTAGGAAGTTTTCTCTCCAAAGCAACTGGGATTACACTGACAATCCAGCAGAAGTAATGCTTGGTGCTATCTTCTGAAAGAGGTGGTGTCCCCTCAATAGGCACATAAGACTTCTTGTTCAAGAGTCTGGCAGCAGGGAAAATTAGCTCATTTTGTATAATTCTTCTTTATCTTTGCTTGTTGATAATTGGAAAACATTCCTCTATTCAGGAGAGACATGGACCTCTGGGAGCAGATCCAGAGGAGGGCCACAAGAAATGGTCTGAGGGCTGGAACACCTCTCCTATGAGGAAAGGCTGAGTGTGTTGGGGTTGTTCAGCCTGGAGAAGAGAAGGCTCTGGGGAGACCTCATTGCAGCCTTTCAGTACTTAAAGGGGGCTTATAAGAAAGATGAGGACAATCTTTTTAGCAAGGTCTGCTGTGACAAGACAAAGGGTAATGGTTTTAAACTAAAAGAAGGTAGATTTAGACTGGATATAAGGAAGAAATTTTTTATGATGAGGGTAGTGAAACACTGGAACAGGTTGCCCAGAGAGGTGGCAGATGCCCCATCCCTGGAAACATTTGAGGTTAGGTTGGACGGGGCTCTGAGCAACCTGATCTAGTGGAAGATGTCCCTGCTCATTGCAGGGGGTTGGACTAGATGCCCTCTAAAGGCCCCTTCCAATCCAAACTGTTCTACGATTCTATGATTCAGAATAGTTGGGTGGCATGCTATTTGAAATTTAATGCAGCTACTTATACTTGCTATCTATTAGGTAGTTGAAGACTGCACAGAAGACAGAACTAAACTTTCCTTGGAGGTACACAGAAAAGGACAAGAAACAAACCTAATATTCCATTCATAAATGTGACTGAAGACAGCCACAGAGTTAAAACAACTCCCAGGTATTATATTTTGGGAGTACACTAGATTCTGGTTTTACATATTTTAGCATCAACATTTTAGAAAGAATTTAGTTGGACCAAAAATGTGGGGTATGCATATAAACGTAAATATGTACAAAAAAATCATGAAAAAGGAATGATTTGTCTGAATTCTTACATAGTGCAGTTGCTTGCAACAGTAACCATGGCTTTGAAACTAAATTATTACTACAGTTAGTATTTCTGAAGGTATCTAGCAGCTATCTAAACTGAATGTTCTCGGTTAACTGCAAAGAACAGGCAGTGAATTGTTCCAGAAGGAGGGAAAAAGTATCCAGAAATCAAGCCGCTCCTGTTACTGGAGCTGTACTGATACAAGCAACATTAGGAAATTTTTTCAAAAAAAGACTCAATGGAATCATATATGATTGGTATGTCTGTAGGCATAAGTACAAAAAGTGCTGACATAAATGAGATGGAAGAATAAAATCTTAATCCTTCAAGAAAAACAAATTTTTAAAAGCAGGGAATAAACCCCAGACACTGGCAAAATATTGTGTGTATTGGAACATGGGAGACAGGAGTCAGAACAATAACCCTACTAAGTTTTACCTTTTTGAACAGACCTCTGTCAGAAGGGTTGTTTCTTTCTGACTATGTAACTCTTAGCAGGCTCTCTGTAAAATTCCTGCAGAACACCAGCACTTCTCTTATTACTGACACAAAAACCCACGGGGGCATCAATCAACATTTGGTTAGTTACTAATACAAGTTAATGGACATGCAATGCTTACGAGCTGCCCAGAGAGCTGAGTAGTCACTTAGAGATACCTACATTCCCATTATAAAAATAGTTTTCAAATGGTCCCTGTATTTGGTAAGTACCATTACTGGAGAGAAGGCAGCAGGAGCCCAGACGTACACTCAACCCCAGGAAACCGAGCACTGAAATTGCTCTTACACCAGAGAAGCCGGAACAGCACTCACAGAAGGACAGATGGATTGTATCCCTCCCTACCCCTGGCTCTAGCTTAAGGGCTGGACTTTACACTCCCAAGTGCTCTGCTTGCTGTCTTGCATGAACATCAAGCCCTATGCAACTAAGGACCATGCTGAAAACTATGCATATGGGCTCACTTTTTTGACCTAATGCATCATACTGCTCACTGGTAATCCCAGTATGTGATTAAAATGGTACCATATGAAGAAGTGTTCTTTATCTTGCAGTACCATCAAAAACTGTAGCACCCCATTGGGAACACAGTACTTAAAATTAATAGAGCAAACCAACCTGCTGGGTGTTCTGGGATAAGCTGCAAGGCTTTTCCCCACACTTCTGCCAAGACTTGACAAGACCTCTGTAAGTGCATCCCACCAGCCTCAGTACAACAGCTCCCCATTGGGAAGAATATGGATATCAGCTGGGGTTTTTCCAAATTAAGTCTTGCAAGCAGTCTGGAGAGCTTGTACAGCAGCTAAGAGATGTAAGCATTTAACCAATTTGCCAGCAAAGAACTAAAGCACAGTGTGTACTCAATAGAATTTGTGCACAGTTAAGGCGTAATTTCATATTGTTTTTGCACTGAACAATTTGTTGAGACGACAGCAACCAACAGCAAAGGGTCTCAAGGTGAAGTCATTGAACAAACCATCAAAAATGTCATTTACAAACACTGCACTTCAACAGAGCAAATGGGTTAGAATTAATGCTAGTGAGATTTGCAGACACTTTGCAAATACAGACACCTAGCCATGTGGCAGCTCAGTACAGGCCTTTTCTGCAGAACATTTGCTTTCTTTAAAGCCTGAAATGCCAGAGTACAGACATGAGACTACTTGGAACACAAAATGAACTTGACATTTTAAACACGATCATATGAAAAAACAGTTTACTTAATTCTAAGAAAATCATCCAAATGAGTGAATGCATTAGTCTCCTTTGGTTCAAACAAAATTAGTTTTAAACTATTTTTTTACAAAATCTCCCTCTCTGCTCAAGGGGTGTTTGCACAAATAAGGAATTGAGAGTAATTACCTACATTCAGTACTACCTCCAATATTTATCTGACTGACAATTTTTCCTACCAATCTTAAAAATTGCAGCTAGGTGACTATGACAATACAGAAATAGCCAGTTTCAACATTTTCCTATTTGGCCTGATTCTAGAAAAAATAATCCAAATGCTTAACTTTAGTGTAATAAAAGACTCACTTATTAACCATATAAAATGTATTAATAGACTCATCAATTATCCACATACCCTAAAGGTATTATTATTATTTACAGGGCAGGAATCTAGTCCTGCTCTTTTTACAAGTCTTTTGGTGAACAAGGGAGAGAACAATTTCATTTTTTTTAAAGAGAAGAAACTCCTGATTGCAGCATCATAAAAGCTGGGGAGGGAAGTTAGTGTCAGATATAATCACTCAATCTAACTTCTATTTTTTACTTTCTTTACAAAATGAACCAGACAGTCTTACAAGTGAACAACAGCTGTTCACCACAAGACACAGACAGTACACAGTATAATATTTAAAGTAGTACTTTAAAACATACCGAAGACAAAAGTGAATGGATTAGTTGCTGGAGCTCATTACTACTGGACAGTTTTGTCCAAAAATCTACAGAACTGGAGGGATCTACTTTGCTCTGATTGCATACATATGAAAAGAAAGATCTATCCTCTTGGAAACTAACTGTCCTGCTTTCTTGATGCTAAGTGACTCAGTCACAAAATTACCTGTAAATTAGGATGCTGTGAAAAAGAAAAGAAAAATACCTAGCAGCTCTGCTTGTAGGAATTCCCAGATAGTGCATGGCCTCACTGCACAAAAATTCTCGCACAGAAGAGCGAAGAACAGCTCTTCCATCACCATTCCTATGGAGAAGAGAGAAATAAGGAATAGGTCATAAAATCAAAGCAAACTGCAAAAAGAAAGCATCCAGTTTTGGTGTACATAGATTACCTGCCACTTACCTGGAGTATGGGGTCCTTCCTGACCCTTTTAACTGTAGTTCCCACCTCTCGCCATGCCTGCAAAAATACCATTAGGATTTCTAACAGTACACCTCGGGCTATGCACGAATCAGCTAAACAGAATACAGAGCTGAATCAGTCACTTAAAAAAATGTCCCACCTGTTTGTATATACTCCGATCAAGTGGGCTCTTCCATCACCCAGCTGACCCGCCCAGCTACCAAACTGACAGAGATGAAAATCAGGTTATCTTCTTCTGTCATTTATAGCAGTTACACTTGAAACCGTACAAATTACATGTGGGTTCGCTGTGATCTACACAATATAATGACACATTTGCTCAGGTAGTCATTAAGATACTGATCCCTAGAGCTGTATTTCCAGACTCACACCAATAATGAACCAGAAAACCGCAGAAAAAGAATAATGCCAGTAATCCCCATTTTTTTTCTCTACCTTCCAGCTATGATGTACAGCTACAGCCCTATCTCTTTTGTATAATGAGCCTTTAAACTGCCATAGCTTGTAATTTTTTTTAATTGGAAATTACAAATCAAATTCTACCATTCTTTTCCATGAATAATCTTACCCATTTCAATGCAATTTAACTCTTAGCAGCCATGGTATTGCAACGAGGCTCTGTCCTTCTTCACTCCTCTGAGCTGATAATACCTATCATGAATCAGAGCCTGTGAGGCTGCGGGGGTGCTAAGCAGACTCCGCAGCTGACAGAAGTCAAAAAAGATAATTTGCTTCTGGCATAAACAGAAGCAGAGAAAGCAGACATGGTACTGTGAAAGAATATTATAGTCCTCTTCCATCTGCAGCCCCTTATGAAGAACAAATCCACAATCAAAATGTTCATTAGTGTTCCTATACTTACAGGTGTCATGTACTCATATATTTACAGGTATCAGCAAGGCATTATTCACATGCAAAGACCTGCATAATCCCACCTGGAAGAACGAGTGCCGCAGTTACCTGGTGACCCCCATACCTATGGGCCAACGGAACAGACCCAAGTATCACTTTCCCACCACTGACAAACTGAAGAAAACCAGAGGTTTCTTTGACAGATATATCAAGATCCAAAATATTTTCAAGAACTTCCTGGAGAAAAAAAATAATACAGATTGTACTTGAATGTGATCAAATTTTCAGTGGTAATCAATATGTTTTCTCCACAGATTTTGTTATTAACAGGCACCTCACAGCATGTTTTAAATGTTCTATTTGTTTAAAGCATATATCCACAAGATGCTTTCACAATAAATAGCATATGAATATTAAAATATATTTTAGTACATGTATTAACAATCTCTAATTAGAGAGGAACAAAAAAATAATGGCCAACCTTTGAAACAGCTACAAGACGAACTCTAGATTTAAAAGGTGTAGGATAGGCAATTGAAAAAATGCAGTTTTTCACATTACGGACATAATTTTCCTGGATCACATCAATTGGAAAAGGATCTGTAAACATGAAACAGACAAGAAATGTTTTTTAAAACACAATTAATCCTATTATTCTTAATAACTTTCCTCTTAAATCCAATCAAAATACTTCAGAAACAATTAAAACCCGACTCTCTACCACAGTGCATATTAAGCCTGCATGAAAAACAAGCCCAGATAAATTCAGGATTTTATTCTGGTTGGGATTTTTTAAAAGGAAGACTGAATTCTGCAGTTAAAGAAACTGGTAGGGCATGCTAGTTATAAGATCTAAAATATAGTTCAGCATGGTTTCAATTACCTGTGACTAGAACAATCTCGGGGCAATTTTATATTGCACTCAACCCTAAAAGATATTGCATGAGACAGAAAGTCCAGCTACCCCCACAGCTGAATGATGCAGTGCAACCGATTAAGTCACTGTGTGCCACTGGCTGTGGTATAAGGTCCATACGCAGTGGTGATCACCGAGTAACCTAAGAAACCAGCTTGAAGTCTTTGATTAATGTAAACAGCGTCAGCAGACATAGTTCTTGCTGTCTAACATATGTCCTCAAAAGATGTGCTTCATTCTTCCTTCAGACCTACTCGGCGCCCTGATCCATGGTTACAGAGGACAAATACTGTTTTAAAACATTGGACTGTGTGTTTTAACATCTTTACGGATTTTTGCTTGCAACAGTCTTACAATCCCATCTTAATGATAAAATCCCAGTACCTCACAGTCACAGTTTTGTAAAAATTGTAAGTTAGCATCTCTGGAGACTTGCCGTTAGCCAGGTTTTTCAATACCCCTAATGACAAATCCTGTTATAGCCAGCTGCCACAAGATTTATCCTGATTATTATTTCTTAATGCTTGCAAGTAATTGTATCACCCGAAGAAATTATTTCTGTAATGTTCTCATAAAAATGATCTTTATTGTAATAGGCAATTCTGTATGCCTAAGAGCTATACTGCTTTGTGTACTTCAAATCAGGTGTCAGCTTATCAATTTTGCATTAACACATAATTGGGACTCGCACGTCTCTCCATTATGATAAATTGCTAATGCAAGAAAAAAAAAAAACCAAAACGCTCCTTATGGCCAATCTGGTTCTAATTTTAAAAGTAGTAAGTATTTGACTGTGCATATAAGGTCCTCAGTTACTGCTTTACTAGCGGCTACAACCCACCGAGCAAAAGCACCAGGGCAGAGCAGGGGTGTACAAAGGCAAAGGCGCCGGGTGTAACCAAGGCGCCGGGTGTGCCAAGCGCGGGGCGTACCGAGGCACCGGGGGCTGTACCTCGGAGGCTGCCGGAGGAGAGGGGCCATGCGCAGAGGTCAGCCGCCCCCC